AATGATATCCCAGTCCCATGTTCCCAACCATGCCTGAATTCATCTGCCTTCCCTGTTAGGCCTCTTGCACTGTAATAAATACTGTTTAATTTATCAGTTCTACCTCACTCTCTGCTTTGTTCCTGCCTGCCCTGACTTTCTCCTTTTCCCAACTGCACCAGTCTCGGACTGATCTCTTTCCTCACTATCTCCCTTGGTCCCACCCGCCCCCAAATAATTTAAATCCTCCCGAGTGGCTCTAGCAAATCTCCCCACCAATATATTAGTCCCCTTCAAATTCAGATCCAATCTGTCCTTCTTATATAGGTCATAGAATCCCTACAATGTGGAAACAGGCCATTCAGCCCAACAAATCCACACTGATCCTCCAAAGAGCATCCCACCAGACATATCCCCCTACCCTGTCCCTGTAAGCCTGCATTTCCCATGGCTAACACATCTAACCTATATATCCCTGAACACTATGGGCAATTTATCATGGCCAATTCACTTAGCCTGCACATCTATGGAAGAGATTCCAATGATCCAAAAATGTGAATCATTGTTCTCAGCACCAGCTCCTCTGCCACACATTCATCTGCTCTATCCTCCTATTCCTACCCTCACTAACTCGTGGTACTGGGAGTAATCCAGATACAACTGCCCTCGAGGACCTTCTTTTTAAATGCCTGCCTAACTTTCTATATTCTCTCCTCAGAATCTTGTCCTTTTCTCTTCTTATGTCATTAGTTCCAATGTGTATAATAACCTCCTGCTGGTCCCTCTGTCCTTTGAGAATATTCTGCACCCTCTCTGAGTTCTCCTTGATCCTGGCACCAGGAAGGCAACACACTACTTTGATGTCTCGTTGTTGGCTGCAGAAACATCTATCTGTGCCTCTGAGTAGAGAGTCCCCTATCACAATCAATCGCTTGGAACCTGATGTACCCCTCGTTATATTAGAACTACTCTCGGTAACAGAAACCTGGCTGTCAGTGCTATATTCCCCCGACATTTTCCAAAACAGTATACATGTTTGAGATGGGAATAGCCACAGGGGACTTCTGCACAACCTTTCCTGGAGGTAACCCATCTACCTGACTGTGTCTGCGGCTTTCCTACCTCCCTGCAACTGCCATCCATTACACCCTCTAGCTCCTGTAATTTCCACATTGTCTCTAACTGCCACTCCATGCGATTCGATAGGATTTGCAACCAACCACACTTTGGTTGCCCTAATTTAAATATTTCTAGTCTTTGTGCACATTTCTCCTTTTCAAACTTTGTGTAAATTTTAATCACATTGTGATCACTGCTATTTAGGCTTCCATTAATAAATCCTGTCTCATTACCTAAAACACAGACTAACATAAATTTGCTCTGTGGCTGGTTCTAGAAGGTACTGCCCTTAGAAACTATCTCAAAAGCTTTCCATGAACTCCTCATCCAGCTATACTTGCAAATTTGTTTTTTTCCAGTTTATATGTAGAATAAAATCACACGTGATTATTACCATCCCTTTATCATAATCACTTTTTTTCTGTTTGACTCTTGATTCTACATTGTAATTAATTTTAGCTGGCCCATAGATCTATCCATTTTGTGACTTCTTTCCCTTACTATTTCTCATCTCCACCCAAACTAATTGTGCAATCTGATCTCCTGAACCAAGGTCATCCTTAACTATGGCACCAATGCCACCTTTGACTGGCTTCCAATTCTTTTTGAATTCATATGTACCTCAATATTGAGGACCCAATCCTTGTCACACTGCAGCTATATGTCCATAATGACAATCAGATTGTCTGTATTCTCTTGAGTGTGCACTGCCAATTAACTTACTTTATTATGAATGCTACTCGCTTTCAGTTTTCAGAAGTCACTTAGTAGCGATATGATATTCTTTGAATTGGAGATAAAAGTACATCATTAACATTCTAATGGATCTGTCAATGAAAACAAAATCATTCATATTTTTTAAAAATCTAAACTTATGAAAAAGAAGTAAATTCAGTTGAGTTGTGAAAATAAATGTCTATTTAGAGACAATATCATCAATGACTGATAATTATTTAATAACTTACTGAACTGGCCAATTGAACTGTGAATACAACCAGCTACTGAAATATCTTAACCTCCTTTGAAACTCATTCAAGTATTAATTGTGTGTTCAGTTGTCAAAATAAATAATTGCCACTCCAAACAATGAATCCTATTGAAACTTCAAAAACAGATGGCTATGTTTTTTCTAAGCTAAATCTGTTACCTCTGTCAATCAAAGCAGTTCTGGGTCAAAGGGTGGCTGCTTTTCTTTGCTTCTGGAAAGCTGCAAACACATTTTCTTTTCAAACTTACAGTGCTGCAGACACACAAATCAAAATTTAAGCATGGTGTAAAATATTTCAGCTCTTTTTTATCCTGTTTTGAGTACGTAATTGTGTTTTTTCCAATAGCAGCAGAAGTATTTTAGTGTTTCTCCACTCTTACAATGATCAAGTGATCTTTATGGTCAGATCCCTATGATCAATCACAGCAGTAAAAACAAATTTATGATAAAGCAACTATTAATATTTGCAGCATTCAAACCTTTTAGCACTTACCTGTCAGAATGTTCTCGAATCTTCAGCAAGTGTCTCTGCAAGATTCATGAACCAGCAAAAAAGTGTGTTAACAAAAGGCTTGTAAAACCTGCCTGACACAATAAAAATACCAGGATGGAGGGAAAATACAAATTTTTCCAAGTCAGTTTTCTCTCTGACGCAGCAGAGTCACAGCAAAATTTAGAAATCATCCCTGTTCGGAGGTCATCCAGGCAGTTTTTCTGGATGAAGATGGTGGAATCATCAAGTAAAAGGGTCCTTCATTCACTCCATGATGCTGCTCTACTTTCTGAGTTAACCTACAAAGGCAAACTGTGACTATTTGGCTACAGAAGCCATCATTGCTGCTGAACACAGTTTTTCAACTTCAACCCTTCTGTCCAGAATTCCAATACTTGAACTAAAAGTTACAGGTTGTAATGTTATCTTAAAGAACTGAGCAAAATTCCATCTTTGTACATCTTTCTTTTAATCTTCATTTGCATTCAATCTATGTATGTATTTAGATGGTAATATTATTGCTTTCACTTGAGTAACTTAAAGCAGTGTTTTGAAATAAACTAACCTTTAGTTTGTTTAAATCTAAAGCTTTGGAGCTGTTTATTTTTAAATTGAACCACAAAATTAATAAACAGACACAAATTTCTAACCCATGGATCACTTTGAGGAAATGCCTTGTTATGTTGTCATAATAATTGGGGTCTCTTGTCCCGGATTGTACCCACTTCAAAATGAGCAGAAGTCAAATTTATACTAAAAGCCAGTGTTTAAACCATTGTGAAAGGAACCAAAATTTGAATGGGAAATAAATTATAATTAGAAGGAAATATCAGATTCAAATGATTTGAAACCAAGCCAGGAGTTTTGGTAGTAAGAAGTTTTGGTCTGAAGAAGGGTCTAGGCCTGAAACGTCAGCCTTCCTGCTCCTCTGATGCTGCTTGGCCTGCTGTGTTCATCCAGCTCTACGCCTTGTTATCTCAGTTTTGGTAGTGAGCTCTGTTTGTAAAATAAATAAGTAAATAAAGAGGGAAACTTCTGATGCACATGAGTTTGCCAGTAAGAAGGATTTAAATTAACAGAAAAAAGCATCCTTAAACATAGGCAACCAAAAGCTATTGCTAAGCAGGTACGATTTAACATCCCCAGTAAGACAAAGATACAGGGATTCTTGATGCTGGCTAAACATTTTAAATTCAGTGCAGTCAGAGCAGGCAGCAAAAGGCATATTGGACCAGGATATTTTGGCTCAAATATAGCTGGGAATGCTGAAAATTAAACTGCAGAAAGAAAGAGAACGAAGACTAACCAAGCAATTGGAATGAAGGTAAAGCCTCAGACCTGAGAAAAGCAGCTAGATGTTTGAAGCTCAGAAAGAAAGGGAAGGAAATTAGCAAATCTTACCCAAGAAAAGGAGCTAAAAATTGACTAGGATTTCCAGCTAAGGAAGTTGGAATTGGTTCAGAACGTTAAGGAATTTTATTTGATAAAGACAGCCATCCCTGAAACTTATTTTAGTCTTGGATAGTATCCATCATGGCTGAACTCTTATTGTTACTGGAGAGGCAGTGGAAGGAATATTTCATTATTAGTTATGATATATGTGCAAATTAAAAATTGTTACACTGATCCAGGGACTGTTTAATTGTTTTTCAGAAAAAGACCATTGTGAATGATTTCAAAAGAGCACTAAAAGTTAAATCTCATTCTGTTTAAGTTTATGTTCAAATATGGGATTGGTGATTATGGCTTATTTCAAAGGGGCCTAATGGTAATGCTTAGAATGCCATTTAATATAACTTTATCCTACAACAGAGTTTGAAATGTTAAAGGCATGTGTAAGAAAGCAATACTGATGCCATTGTCATCACAGTCTATTTTTGTCTCATCTGACAGCTGGTAGCAAGCCACTAGATGCATTACCATTTGAGAACATGCATTCTCCATCAGTTGTAAATAGCTGTATACATGAATCAACTAATCCTTTGTACTCCAAGTCCTAAACCTGCAGTTGAGATTAATGAAATAGGTTGCAATCATTATTTTATATGTGCATAAATTTACAACCTGAATAAATGCAAGTTCCCTGTTTTGTTATTTTTACAAATGGCATGTTTATCATTGGATTCTCAAGAAAAATATGCTAATCACACAGAAACATTTCTGTGACATCAAGAGGCACAAAAGAATTCACAGTACATCAACCTGGTTGGGTTATTTAAAAATGTGTGAGAGGCAACAATGACGGCAGAGGGGGAAGCTCAGATAGGATGACAAAACTAAAGCAGATGCAAAGTTTGTCTTTCGTATTTTAGCAAGCAAAGAGATTCTTCAAAGAACTGAATGGATTATTTTATTTGAGGAACTGCTCAAGAGGAAGAAGATATCATAAGATCTGAGCTAATTTATTCAGTTCTGAAAGAAATGAGCAAGCCAGTATCGCTGGCCACTTGTTTGGCCAAAATGTATGAAGGAGGTAGTCTTGACTCTCAGAATAAAATTGGGTCTGTTGGCCAAGTGAAAAAACCGACTGGTACAAATCAAAGCAGCAGTGCCAATAACTTAAGTACAATGGACAACAAACTGAATCTTCTTAATGAGAAAGTCGATCGAATAGTAAACTTTCAAGGACACGTTCTTAAGAAATTGGAAGACATGTCTCAAGGATTGGGTGACTTAGAAAAGAGCATCGAAATACTGAAAACATTAAAAGACTGCAATGGAATGGTAGACGGTAAAAGTGATGTTAAATACTTGCAAAATACTGACTGCCTCAATCATCCTGAGATGAAGCTCTTATTCATGGAACTGTTCAAAATGGTGACAACTGTACATCAAGATACAACAAAACAAAAAGAAAAATTAGATGGCATAGAAAAAATGGTGTCAGCTGTGGACAAAGCCATTCACTTTGTGGGTGAAGTCTTCAAAAATTCCCACATTGTGCAGTTTATTCTAAAAGGAACTGTGCCTTGGAAAAAGGGATGCCTAATAGAATCTTCAGAGGTCAGTTTTACCAAATAAAGCAAAATTTAGATTTAAAAAATACATAGAATTACTATAGGGTTATACTTTAATAATGATCTACTAGGTGACTCCTGGAATGAAAGTCTGTGTTAATAATTATCTGTTCATGCCCTGCTTTTGATTTTGAAAAAAGAATACAGTTTTAATTAAAGTGTATATGAACTCAAGTGTAAAGTAGTTAGAGGCCCAGCATGGGCAATATAACTGTGTGCAATTGTGTAAAATTGGACCCATTTGACAGTCATTACACAAAGTGAAAATTACCTGCATTGAATCTAGTGCCTTACATTAACTTTTCATACTATTGCAAAAGTTTTTGCAATGAAATTCATTTCATGAGTGTACAATTTCTGTACTCCTCTGATCCTTGCTAAATTCTCCAATTACCTGCTATTCACAAAAGCAGAGCCTAGAGATGTAAATCAGAATGTTAGCATCCTGCCCGTAAAATTCAAGTATTGAAACCAATCCCTATTGTATAAAGAACAATAACTTCTGAAGGAATAATTTTTAAAAATCAGATTACAGCCTTTAATGCCTGTTCCCAGGTTAGAAAAGTGTTCACTTACAGGACGACTGCAGGATTGTGTATTCCAGCTATACCATGAGTGTTACAAATATATTATGATGGTAATGCAATAAATAACTGTTTTTTTGCTAATTTTATTCTTCATTTGAGATATTTCTGAGATCTCCAGCAGCAATGTGGGAAACAATGTCTATTACACTGTTGTATTGGAACTGAACAAAGTTTTCACTGTTTCAGAGATAGTAGGAACTGCAGATGCTGGAGGATCTGAGATAACAAGGTGTAGAGCTGGATGAACACAGCAGGCCA